TCTGAGGAAAATCATGAATTGTTTCATTGTGAATGAAAACCTATGGAGAGATCTATTCATTCGAGAACAAGTCAAATCAATTCGACCACCCAGAACGATGGAAGGTTTCGTCGCCTTAGGCGATTTGATTCCCTGAAGTTTTGTTTCCCAGGTCATATGAATGGTGAATGCACCGTTGGCCGCAGCAGTACGATGGTGAAGTGGTAATACCTGGTTGGGATCTTCAAAAGGAATGCACCCAGAGCAGGAATGTACTCAGTCGTCGTACATAAACCTCTGGATCGACTTCTAGCACGTACGCCTCAACGTTCCTGTTTGCTTTTCTAGCACAAAAAGACCTCTCTGCAGAGGCGAGACATCGTTTGCCGGTCTTCTAATGTTCTCTGACGCGATGTGTTCGCCAAATAGGCACTACCGATTGTAAGCAATGGGATTCGTTATTGATGTCCCTAATGTAAGCGATCAGTCATGTTTTCTGGTAAAGGCGGCTCTATAGGTGTACTGTAAGTTCGCCTATTTTATGTGGGCTATTCCAGTCCTCTGCTCCCATGGTCGAGCAGCGATTAAAATAATCTCGATATATTTTAAAATATATGCACTAGGATAAGGGAAAGTAACCTCAAGACGTCATTCTTCTTATTGACAGTGAACGCTTCTTAAGATCATTGGACTAAGTGCTCCTGTGCTTTGAAGCTTGGTGACCACGACTACTCGTGTACACCAAGTGTCTCTGCTTTTAAAGTGAAACCACAAAAAGCAGCATCGCCAGAAAACTTGGCATGCTGTGATGAAATGCTGGGAATAAAAGAATGGCGCATTCGTGACTAAATGAAATGGCATTGGAAATGAAAAGACATCACTTGACGGACATCCGACTGGAAATGAAAAGACCAGTCAGAAATGATGTCCCATCTAGCCAGTCGTTTCATGGAAATGCAAAGGTTTCCTAATTAGAAGTCAGTGAGGAATGAAGTTCCAAACGGCCATGAATTTTGGAGAAGCATTGGTTTCTTGCTTGGTCTGGAGCTTTCGCGATGGAACGGCTAAAGCTGGAGCGGAAGATTTCTATCTTTGGTCATTTGAATTCAAAGGTTCAATATCTACTTAACCCTGCCAACTTCATCTTCAACGAGCTGATGTACTAAGATATCTCCGCCTAATCTTTCCAGACCAGGCATTGAACATTACTGAAGGATGGGTAGAGCTTAGACAGCAGGAAGGTAATAAGAAGTTCTTGTTTTTTCAATTTTGTGGATAGTTGATGGAATCGGCATAGACCGGTCACCAGGAGCAATGATGGCTCATGCTGATCCATCATTCTTCATCAGGGCATCAGCTTCAGCTTCTATTTTGTGCAAGTGGAAACTTTTCTTCTTGTGAGACACTACCTAAAGTTCTAGTCAGTGCCCTTTGTGTTGGTCATAATATTGGCCACGCCCCCTCACACAGGTCCCGCCCCTCACGATCAGCGAATAAAATGCTTGACGGGCTAGATCTCGCTTTTTGTAAAACATGGTTCTGCATGCCTAACAAAAAAAGGGATTCGGAGATATATTCAATTTAACTGTCAAGAATGTTGATTCGAGGCAAGGTCCGAGTTGGTACCATGACTAGGGTGCCACTAGAATCACCTTTCTTCTGAATAACATCCGGTTTGGGGAACCGAACCATTTATCCCACTTAGCTGTCCCATTGATTGTTACGATCTTATGGGAACAAAAGAGCGAATATATTTCCATTCCATTCCAATGGAAATGGAAATGGAATATATAGCTGGTGACTTCCACTTTTCCATTGTTTCGGCTACCGATGCTCATGAGAGTGTTCGTGATTTTGAATGGAAATTAGATGTATCTATGTTTCCGAAATATAATTTTGACTTATTTTTGAAAGTTTATAGTCTATTACGGATTCTCATAAATTGAGGTCATAGTGGGCGCGCGACTGGAACGAAGACAATCACTTTTACGGAGGAAAATGAGAAAGTGGAATGTCGCGGAACCTGAACACGGCTGACTAACAAGCACGGATAGCAAGAAAAGCTTAATCTCGAATAGTTATCGGGGATTAGCTTTTTTCGTGACGAATGGCGCCCGAGGGAAATACTCCCGTAAAAATGCAATGTTTAGTCAATCTCCGTGAATGAGATGAGGGCAACGCTGACTTTTTTCGCATCAGGAAGGCTACTTCCGCCGAAAACGTTCTCGTGATATTGCCTCACTTGGCTGGAATTCCTTCGAATTCGATTCAAATGGATCTTCTTCTTTTTTATTTATTACATTAACAAGCAAAACCAAAAAGCAAATGGAACCTCATTGTTTTCCTTTTCTCGCACTGGTCAGCAAGGAGAAAATGGTCCTTCTCCACCAACGCATGGAAGCCCATCGTGCGAAATTCGATTGAGAATGGCTTCGAAACTTTGCAGCACGGACCATATCTCACCCGTCCATTGCCTAGGAGCTATTAATTTCCAAAGCACCTGGGTAACCTAGCTAACTTACTTTATAAGGAACAACCCAAAATTGAAAAGCTCGCGGAAGCCGCTCACGTTGACATGACTGCTGCAGGACCCTAGCGTGCAAACGCTATAACTAACCACAAGTTAGCTCCCAGAATGAATGGCAGATTAATTGTGGAGGTCCCTATGCTGTAGACATTTAGACGAAAAATGTTGAAATTGAGCAAGGTCCCGATAACCTTCCAAAAATAGTGCCCTCGAACGTGAATGTCAGGAAAGATGAGGCAAACTGAGCGGCAGTATTAACAGAGCTTCAAATTGGTCATTACGACATAAATGAATGGAGGAATGAGTCATGTACGCGTAAGACAATCAGAATTCCTCTGACGATCATATCGATTAGACGACTTCGTCGGTCAGCTGCAGGAAGCTGCATCTGAAGCGGGGAAATTCGTAGGGGCCATTGGTTGGACAGTGCTATCCCGATTGGACAGATCGGGGTAGCACCTTCTAACCAAAGACCCCTACGATTTTGGTATGGGTACGGTACGGTGCGACTAACATTATACTCAGGGACGAGTTCCGTCGAACGCTCAGAGCCCCTGTAGATCTGTTTCTGTTGAGCTGGATCGTGTATACGACGAGCGATCTCGTTTATGTATACTCAAAATCAGTATCCACTGAAACTATCCTGTCTTCAGCCGTGCTGAAGAATCAAGGAATCGACAGTGTTGATCATTCTCATCGAGTAACCCTCGAGGTAGGAGGATCCACGCACCGTAGTGCATTGGACTGGAGACATGGATGATTGGAAATTTCACGAATGTTTGCCCCAACAAATCGATGAGCACTGAGATGAATGATGCAGGTACTATAGATGATCTGTGCCTCTCAACCGATTTCTCACTGCGGAAAAATGTATGATATCTATCTAACAATGGGGCCGATTCTTACTTAGAGAGCGTTTTGTTGTTAGATTGACATCGCGCATTAAAGGCACAGTTCCCGATAATTTTGGGTAATCCACATTATGATGAAATATGGAAGATAAGATGGAAAATAGTGCGATGGAGGCGAAGGAACTGCGTCGATTGGTGTTTCCGAAGTGAAAAAAGGCTTCGAAAAATCGTTAAAAAGGGTGCTGGACGAGAATTAGACTAGAAGAACGAAGAAGAGTGGGGCGGTTGGACGAGCTACGCACAGTGCGTCATTGCGTACGTGTGGGCCCTGGTGCGAATAGCTGACTATGGTAAGCAAAAATTCATTAACTCATAAGCATAAAATAGCAAAAAAGCCCTAGTAACAGCAAAAATGGCCCAAATTTTTCGGAGGCTCTAGGTGGAAAATTAATTAAGGATCACACCAGCTAAAATAATGTCAGAAAATAAAATAATGGTAGAATAACTTCGCCTCATAACTCGGCGGTCAGCTGATTGTGTGTGGGTCCTAGAACGAATATTGCAATCCATATCACCTCGACACTCGTCTGACCTGACATCGATCGAGGGACGGGAAGTCCGAGCGATCTGGTAACGGGCTCCCACTATGCCTGAGCTGTTGAGTTTAGGGACTCGACAGCGTACTTCCTGTTACTTTTGAGAGCCACTGGGTATTCCTGGGAGAAGAACTGGGAGACCAGTTTTATCGTGAACTTTGCCTCCAAAAGAATACAGAAGCAAACGCACTAAAATTTTGCTGAAACGGATCGTAGTGTTTGAAACTTTGATGAAGTATCTTTTTGTGGGGCAATCCTACTGGGTCAGGAAACGGATGGTACTCACACTGGCGATTTAGTCGGAGCGAGCATCGTCATGACATACAACCCTTGTTTTTATTGGTTGTAACAACAGTGCAAGGAAACTGATCCTGCGATGACTACAAGGCTAGTAACTAAAAATTTGATTGCGGATGTCTTCAGCTTAAGCCTGTAGCTAAAACCGTTCTATAGTTTTTGGCTCCGATGACCCGATGACCATGCAAGGAATGGGGTTAGATATTATTATAGGTATGAAACGGGCGTTCCTGTTAACAATAATCGTAGTTCAACAACGGGAAAATGAAAGGAGGCCATGAGGGAGGGCTGGTTTGAGAAACTTATGTTTATCGTGGGCACCAAACTGAGACGCCAAGGAAAAAAAGCGTCAACCTCTCAACGCGATCATGCGTGACCATAAGAATTTCCAGTCTTTTCCATGTTTCAGTTTCTCGGAATCATTTTCACCGCAGCTTGAATGAATCAGAATTGCCTGCATAGTTCTGATTGAATCACAGTCAGAAGGATACCCGTCCCAACCGAATCTTTAGTTCAATTGGGTCGGTTAACTGATTCATCTGGGATGCGTCGTCCAGGATTATGGAACATTGACTCGCAGGCCATTGTGCAGGCCATTCGCACATTCAGAGTCACTACGATTCTCAATGGAAGTCAAATGCATGAGCTCATTTTCAGCATAAAATTGATCGACTCCACAAAACTTTATTCTTTTTGTAGCCATTAATTGCTGATCTTTAATGTTCGTGTTTCATCAGTCTTAACGTGGGCTCAAGTCGCTGATGCAATCGTCTTCTTCGCTTTCCTCGCAACAATCTTATGTCCTTTGGGTGCTGGTTTGTCAGCATAGCTTACTCTTTCCACAGCAACCCAAAATTCTTTTGCATCAGCACTTCGTAGTCCAATTGGGCCAAATTCACAATGTCCACAAACTAAAACCTGAAATCAAAAGTTAGAGATGTGCTGGTTTTCGTTTGAAGTCTCTCGACCTCAGCACCAAGAGAAGGCTCCGCTCAGTGGTCCCTATATGAACAACCGTTGCGTCTTCTTTTTGACCGTGGCCCATAACATGATCAGTTTCGAGTGACTTGGGGCGGATGGTCGAGACATGCATCACTCAGACTGACGATCAAACTCCAAATCGCTGACTTGCCAGGTAGCATGCGCAGTGAACTCTGAACAGTTCCGTGAGAATGATCAGATGAAGAACGAACCTTTTTGTTATCGACCATGGGAACAGCGTAGCCAATCGTATCAAATTCGAAATCATCGGTGCAATGCCACCACCATGAAATATCCTCCGTGTCCCTCGTGTTCGTAGCGCCTGGGGTCATCACTGGAAGCTTGGCCGTATAGCCATCTGGAATTTTCAGGCCAATAGTATAAATCATATCCCCAGGTTTGGTTAAAGAGAAGGACATTCTGTGATGGAACACCGAAGGAAGTTGAAAGCGGGAAAAGATCAGGAAATAGAAGTACCTTCTAGGAGGTCTACTTTGTCCTCGAAAAGTATAAGTGAATCACATCGTCGGCAAACAATCGATTGCCAATTTTTGTTGTCGACGTTGAGGAGATTGGCCCGATCAACCTGAAATAGGTTCTTGGCGGGTGTGCCGAACCTCTCGTCAATTAAGCACTTACCGGCTCTCTTTTTCCGGTGACTTCCTTCAATACCATTTCCTGCGGCTTTGCATCTAGTCGAAGGACCATCTGAAAGAGTGACAAGGGTTCCTGAAATCACACCAGGGTTATTTGCCTTCATAATTAGCTTACATTTGGACGTTGGAATTTGCAGAGTATAGGCGACCACACTTGAGTTATGCTCTTACATAAATGGATCACCCTTCAGCTTTTACCGCTTCTGGGAACCGGCCAAAAATATAGCTGTTTGTTGTGGTGTAATGATATCATGTACCACCTCATCGCGGTGATAGGGTGACACCATGGCAAATGGTGGCCAACGGTACAAATGGTCACGCAGTACGATTGCCTGTCGTATGGGCGGCTTTTTTGTATCCCTGGCAAGGAACAAAGGAATAACCGAGGCAAAGCAAGCTGTTCAAACTGCTGAAATTGTGCCCCAGTCCTGCGCACATCGGGTATGCTTCCCTACGGCGTGGGGGGAGCCTCTACTGATGGAAGCCATCTAGTCTCGCATGGGATTTATGAGGTCATCGGAACCGGGAACCTGGAAATCCCCCAAATTGCGGCACATGGACTGCCTTTCGTTTGCTCGTATAACTGCCGCACTATAGCATCGGAAGCCAGCCATCGGATGCTTCTGCTAAGTAGTCGGCTTGTTAAATATGATGTTATCGCACTACACGAGATGAAAGGCAGAACGAAAACCATTCGAAAAACGGACCACAACGAGCTGCTCATCATCGGGCCTAAAGCGAACGGCAATGTTGTGGAGATGGATTTCTGATCAATTCAACAATCGCCCACCTAGTAGACTCGCATAACATCGTCAGCCCGCGTCTTGCCGTCCTCCGTCTGCGCACAAACGACCGGGTTGCAATTTCTGTCATCAATGCATATGCATCTTCATCCGTGGTTCCAGAGGAAGAGCGAGAGGAGTTTAATAGACTTTTGGAAAAGACGATTCAAGAAGAGAAGAGCTACTATAAATATGTCGTAGGTGACTTCCTTTAACGTCGTCGTGGGCACTAACTGCAGTGGAGATTGGAGGCTCGGACCTTATGGCTCTGGCGACAGGGCCGAAAACGGAGAACTCCCTTTGAACCTTCTATATGCGTGCCGCCTTTTCCATGGAAACTTCATATTCGAAATAGCAGCTAAGCGACGATGGACTTGAGAGAGTCCAAACGGCCGAACGCATTCGGAAATAGATCATGTTCTCACTAACCGACGCTGGAGTCTACTTGATGTATCCGTGTAGCCCTCTTTTGACACCGGCTTACATCATCGCCTTGTGCGCGCAAAAATACGAGTCAACAAGCTGATATTCAAGCGCGACGCGCACAGGCCCGCACACTTCGAAACTCCCTCCTTTGATACAGAACTACTCGGGTCAGCCATCGAAGCTCATGATTGGCGTCTCTTAGAGGATTCCACAGAAGACTACGAACACCTAACAAAAGGTTTGCTTAAGTGTGCAGACATTTTCACGTCGTTCACAGCTATCCCGAACTCCGAGGTTGAATGCTCTTGTTGTATCCCTCTTGAAAAAAAGGAGAGCAATCAAACAGGATACCAACGCCTACCAGGTGGAAAAAGTCCTTGTAAACAAAATCCGCCGTATGGCTGTCAAGCAATCTCTTCGAGAGTGCAGGAGAACCATGAAATCAGCCGGGGCGAGATTGAGCATCAGGCGCTGCAAAGAGATCTCAACGATCAGAAAGCTGTGATGTCCGCTCTCTTGGGCAAAGATGGAAGTGTGAAAGCGTCTAGATGTTCTATGGAGAACATCGCTCAAAATTTCTACACAGAACTCTTTCGTTCCTCCACCTTTGTTCCTGAATACTCGATGCCGCCTTATGAAGAGCCTCCCGCTATCCTAGGCTCGGAAGGATTCCAGAGCAGTGGAAAGAATCAAAAACCATTCTTCTTTTCAAGAAAGTTCAGCGAGAGGACATCTCCAACTACTGTCCCATCAGCCTATTATGGGTGGTATACAAGTCATTCACGAAAATTCTGCTTCATCGCATGGAACGCATCCTGGTCGAATACTAGCTAGTAGAGCAAACTGAACTCAGGAAAAACTTCTCGTGCATGGATAACATCCAAGCAGTCAGTTATTTTATTGAGAGAAGCCGAGTATATCGCGTTCGTTTAGCCCTTCTCTTCGTGGACTTCAAGAAGGCGTTCAACTCTGTGGAGAGCAACGCTGTTTTAAATGCTCTTGTGTAAGCTAAAGTTGATCCAGCCTCCGTCCATCTGCTCGAACAGTGCCTCTCAAACACATCAACGTTCATCCAGATGTTCGACCGAAAGCTGAAGATTCAAGTTGGAAAGGGGGTGCGACAAGGAGATACCATATCCCCAAAGCTTTTCACGGCTGCGTTACAATATGCGATGTTGAACCTCAACTGGGAAGAAAGAGGATATCCCGTCAATGGCAAAAAAGTCAATAACCTCCGCTTCACCGATGTTATCGTCTTGATATCAAGCAGCAGAGCTGAAATGGAAAAGGTGGTCAACGAATTCAATGCGGTAAGCCGGCGGATAGGCGTGGAGATGAATATGTCCAAAACGCAATTAATGGTTAACAGATGGTGCGATACGGGGAGAGTAAGATTAGAAGGAAAAACTCTGCATAAGTTGAATTCTACGTATATCTGGGAAGAGAGCTGACATTTTGAACAATATCGCTCCAGAATAAATCGGAGAAGACGTGCTGCATGGGCAGCTTTCGGTTCAACTCGTGAAGTGACGGACCAGGTCAGCGATATCGACCTCAAGGCATCGATATTCAGCGCCTCAGTACTGCCAGCGATGTGTTATGCGACTGAAACGTGGCCTGACAATAAAACAATCGCCAAAGCCATAAGGACTTCTCATCACGCGTTGGAAAGAAGTTTTCTGAGAATCAGTCGTCGACAATAGTGGCTGCAAGACTTGCGAAGTTCAAACCTACACGAGAGATCGCGTAAAATACCCTCTAATACATAGAAGGTTCGAAGCACCGCTGGGTCGGTCATCTACTTCGTCGAACTGATGACAGATGGATTGGGCGGTATGGAGCAGCTGTTGTCTCCGCTGAGAAGACCCTCTTGCCGATGGACCATCAAAATAACAAAGTAAGTAAGTAATGATAACGATAGCCTCTCAGCGTACGCTCTGTGACGGGTTATCCATTTCATTTCCCTCTGTTCTGAATCGCGTTTACAGCTTGCACTTTGCATCTAAAGCGGAGCGCTTAACTGTCAACCATCTTGTGCAATGAATCGTACCTAATGTTCTGGTCATTAAGAACAACTCATGACGCTGTGATAATCAACCGCATGAAATTTTCTGCCAGCTTCTCGGTCGATCCACTCGTTGGTTACTTGAAGATAAAGTCGAGAGTAAGGGAAGATAGTGATGATGAAGCATAAAACCATTCGGAGCAGGTACGCAGTGGGGACTTCATCAATATGGATGGGACTCGACTTTATATGTCCCGTGTCTTCACTGGGTCCTGCTACAGGACAATGCAAGATTGTAACTTGAAAGTCACGCAAGTCAAAACTATTAGTAATTGTTACGCCCTCTGAGGTCGCCCCACCCAAGCTTCCACTGGCGAAAAGCTGGGCGGCAGTCGAATAGGCGTGATCTCTGCCAGGGGTTTACGCCGCGCTTGCAGGCTCGCACACTCTATCAAGCGGTCATGTTAGAGCTTTAGCAACCTTTCCTCCTACCCACTTCCTGAGAGTGTTGCAGGCTGTGCAGCCCATTTAAACTATCCTACACTTTTGGAGTGTTTTCAGCTTACGGAACCCATTGTCACTACTGAGCCAACATACTAACTAAATGCTGTTCGCCAGATTCAATTGTTCGACTCATTGCTACGGGTGCGGCAAAAGATCTGGCAACGGTAAATGTGCCCTTAAAACGGACAAATCGATCGATACATGATACAACTTCAACAGCATTTATCAACAGCAATATAGATCACAAAAGCAAACTACATCTCGAGATAGCCTTCTTTTGCGCGAATACAGGCTGAAAGTCTCCTAGAAAACGCGTCGTTGGCTGTACCTAGGTAGTCTTCGTCCGAATCCTCCCATGCTTCAACGAGGGTTGCACTTAGAGCATCCAACCTCTATGCTGAGTAGAGCAGGCTTTCATCTTAATAGTTGAACCCACGGAGTAGTTCAATGTATTTAGGTTTGGACTGTTTGGGGGCCAATCGTTCGGCGAGATGAAGTCTAGGCAGTGCGTTGCGCACCAGCCCTGTACCACCTTGGACCTGTCTGCTGGAGATGAGTCCTGTTGATAAGTCCATCCAGATGCCGAAATGGGATTCTGCCCAGGGGAGTACCTACTTCACCGACACGCCTTGTAAATAGGTCCTATTATCCACCTCGACCCCTTTCTCCAAGAAAATCAGGGACAACTTGCCGTCTGATGTGATTGCTTTGACTTGATGTTTTGTTAACTGCTGTTTTACCGCCGCAGTGCGCGAAGCGAAAGTCTCACAAGGTTGGCGATTTGTGGGCAAAACTCCAGTCTCGGACGGGACTCGAACCCGTACTTGTCCTTTCCGGGGACCGTGCTCTTATCCCTTANTAAGGGATAAGAGCACGGTCCCCGGAAAGGACAAGTACGGGTTCGAGTCCCGTCCGAGACTGGAGTTTTGCCCACAAATCGCCAACCTTGTGAGACTGATGTGATTGCCCCAAAAACCATCAACGACTTCGGATGTCTAGATCGCTGAGCAATTCCTCCATGTAGGCAGGCTTCTGCAGGGCTTCCCATTATCATCCAATCGTTTCGAGTATTCAGGAATTGATCTGTTGAAAACAGACATACGTCAATGGAAGGGATGTTGCTGTGCCGTGCCTGCAGAAATCGCTTCAAAAGCTCCTTACATCTCGAGCCTAGTCTTCTTCAGACACTCAGTTAGCGTGGGAGCGTTTTGATCTTACCAGGCGGCCACGCACGCTATCGTGTGCGCGGCCGCCTGGTAAGATCACAAACGCGTCTCCGAAACATGAACTGATTTTCATTGTAGACCTTCTCCGGATTTATGAATTTCTGCTCACCGCCCCCTGTTGGCAAGTCTGGTCCTGCCACCCACTATAAGTGTCCCCACCCTGTCACCTGTGATCCCACAAAATTTGAACTTTTTGGGCCCACGGGGACAGGAGTTATGATTTTCCAAAATGTTCTCGCAAAGCATCGCATTTCTGGGGAACGCCCTGCCCATCGGGATGGGTCTCGCCACTTGGGTCTAGCTTACCAATGCATACCTCTAGCCACCTTTGCACATCAAGTTCAAAGCCGTCTTGTTCCTGAATTTGAAATCATGGCCCTCAATACGGCTCATTTCGATGCACGCCACGCCCGCTGTGGGCAGGGCTCAGCCAAACTGATGTGTGCTTTATACTTCTTGGGACATGGCCCACCCGTCCCATGCTTGACCCGGTCTCTCCAGGCAGATTTAAAGGAGCTAAGGAATTTCGTGACAGACATACGACAGACACGGACAGACAGAAGACAAAATGGCAGACGACAGACGAAGCGCTTTATAGTAAGTAGGATAAGAGCGAAGTCGAAGGTGGCTGGTGACAATCCCTACAACAAATCGAGTAGAAATACCCACCTCGAGACCCGTTTTCCTCTCGGACCTACGAGCGTGGCGGCGGGTTTTCTCTCGAATGATTTTCATGGTCCCCTTTGTCGTTGCACTCTTCTGTTTTCCCTTTTTTAGGCTTGTCCTCCATGGTTCCCTACCTGTTGACGTTGTTATACACGATTCTTAAGGGAATCTGGAGCTGCTTGGAAATGGTCTTTGCGGGATAAAGAATGATGGAAGGGTATCTATGAAAATACCTTGGTCAAACAAAATGACACGAACGGATAGGGTCAAGCCCAATTGGGAGCACTTGGGATTCCAACCTGAAACACCTTTGATATCCATACCCACTTCGCAGTTGCGATGTGAGTTACCCTTAACCAGTCGGGCCGCCCGGCTAACGCCGGGCTTCCCTCCTTCTTATGGTGTCGCCCGGCTTCGCCGGGCGCTCCTCCTTTTTGTAAGAAATTTGCTATGCGTAAATAACACCTCGGATTCTCATTTTCCTTTGAGAGCTCTACACCCTCAGTATTAGCTCCGAAATGGGAGCGATTTTTTATGTATTATAATTGATTATACTAATTAGAAGTCTCGATTCATTGCTCTTCATCTCGAACACCTCAACATTACATTGATGGCTTAACTGATTGACAACCAATGTCTCGAATGGTACCCAGAAATGGATAATAACGCCTATCACAGATGTCGTTATCAATGGAACATTTTCCCCACGGATTTTCGGATTTTTCATTAATTGGGCATCCCAAATAATTAGCGGTCAGATGAGTATAGTCACAAATGATATGTCACAAAACAAAAAGAAATCGTGGTACTTCATTGCGTCATAAAGCTTACTGCATAACGGTCGTAGTTTAATAGCAAGAAATGATCAATATTCTCATTTCGCTATGGTGAAATGTCTTTGATCGGTCGCTATTACTACATTTACCGTCTCATTGAATGAAACATTTTAAAGAGTATTTGATCATGAATACCCTTTTGCTCTCTAGGGCCCCTTCAGTTCTTATCAGTTCCTGCCACAGAGTGCATACGACCACGACACATCCCACATTGCCGTCATTGGGAAGGTTCCACTGTTGGGATTGCAACGTTTGCTCGCTTGTTATCATGTTATTTTCATGAGTTATGAATTTGCAATTTAAAATTTATAACCCGCATGCCCCGTCCCCTGTAGGCGGAGTTCGATCTTGCCACCTGCCATAAGTGTTCCTATCCAGCTTCCTGTACTCCTACCAAGCTTGAACGCTTTAGGTCCACTGGAGCAGGAGTTATGAAATTGCGACCCGAAATTTCTATTGCGCACGCCCCGCCCTCTGTGCATTGAGTCCGGTCTTGCCACTCACCATAAGTGTTCCCGTCCTGCCCCGTACTCCTACCAAGTTTGAACGCTTTGGGTCCACTGGAGGAGGAGTTATGAATTTGCGGCCCAAAATTTCTATCGCGCACGCCCCGCCCCCTATGAATGGGGTCTCATCCTGCCACCAACCATAAGTGTTCTCCTCCTGCCCCCCGTACTCCTACCAAGTTCGGACGCTCTAGGTCCATGGGGACAGGACTTATGAAGTTGCGGCCCAAAATTTCTAACGCGCACGCCGCGCTACCTGTGCATGGAGTCCAGTCCTGCCACCTACCATAGGTGTTCCCATCCTGCCCCCCTTACTCCCACCAATTTTAAACACTTTCGGTCCACGGGGACCGGAGTTATGAATTTCCGGTCAGATACACACACCGACACACACACAAACAAACACACACACACAAACACACCGACACACCAACAGACACACTTAGCGAATTATATAAAGTAGGATATTCCGTCGATCAGTTGCGATGATCATAAACGTAGAACGATTACATCGGAGTAGCTGAAATACGACTGAGTAATATAGAGCTACGATGAGGACGTTGACGGATGGTAATGCTATCAAATACGATTACGACTACGACCAAGCGATGGGCTCTTTGGAAGATGACTAAATGATAACTGCGCTGAAATCACTGGCGAATTTTCCGCGTCGCATCTTCTCGCTCGCTGCCTACTGTAGGAGTTCGACGTTCTCCCGGCCAATTCCCTTAAAGTCGACGGAACAGTACGACAGGAATCATAGGTCAGCTACTGAGATGGCTCAAGATTACTGTGCAGCAGAGAGTGATGAGCTGTGCAAGGTACAGCAAGGCAGTATTCGCATCGATAAGTGATCACTCTGGCCAACACATAAGAATATTGAGAACTCGAAAATCTGTCTCGAGACTTGAGTTCTGCTCGAGCAGATGATTATTCAGCTAGGTTCCCATTTAAAACACAAGGGCAGTACTGTAGGAGGACAAACTTGAAATCTCTCGATTGACACATGAAAAGGAGCCGTCTTTAGGTGGATCGGGCATTAGATACGGCTTCGCGATAATCTAGTGTATTTACTGACTGGAAACTTCAAAAAAAAAGCCTACGAATATGGTTCGTCTTGTGTTCCTTCTACGAGGAAGGTCTACTACATAATCGTGGCTCGCGACAGGGGTGAGTGAAGCATCCTCAAACATATCAGTGATCAAATGAACGACAGATGATGAAGGTGCTACGAGTGTGTGTATATTCGTGCGATTCGGACCGCGCGCGGCGACATTCGTAGCGATTCGAACTATTCTGGCACCTACTATTGGGGGACAATCTTGAAGTAGAGTAGATTAGTATGGTCAGCTGAACCTTCTAATCTACTCCACTTCAAATTTGGGCCCCAACAATAGGCGCTAAAATCGTCTTAATCGCTAGGAATTTCGTCGCACAATTTGCTGCGCGCAGTCCGAATTGCACGAATGTATCGTCCCCCAGATGCTACAGTTATGGTGATGCAGTGTTACAGTTGTTCATGACGTATGCATACTAAAGTCTTAACGCTACAAGCACCTACAGTGTAGTGTTTATCAGTACGCAGTTCTTCGGCTCTGTCACTCTAATTTTAATCTTCGACGAGAGTCAAGTTTATTGTTCGCATTAGCATTTCTTGTCATTTTTTGAAGGCATCTACTTTTTCTTTTTCTCTTTCTTCGGTCTCGGCTTTGCTCCTGGTGGTGGAGGTTTATCCACATGGACGACTCTTTCCGTAGCCACCCAGAACTGTTTGTCGTCTTGTGATCGTAGGCCAATTGGTCCAAATTCACAATCACCACAGAGCAATACCTGCAATTAATGCTTTTTCAAATGTATTTTTGAGCTCGTGGTTGTGTGTCAGTACACCCCGAGATACGAAGACCTCACGACTGGCGACTCGCGGCAATCGGTGCGATGATTTCTGAAAGGCGTAGTGCCGCTTTTATGCTTGTTCACAAGTTTTTGACAAGGCGAATTGGGCAAGAGCTCAAAATGAAACATGCATAGACGTGTCCCAGCCCAGTTAGCCTTCCCCCTCTCCGCCGCTTCATTTGCCGCATAGATTGCCGCGCCCCGCACGCGAGGTATAGCCGCAAATTACGGCTGTGTTGGCAGCTCACCATTAGAAATTTCTTGAAACAAATCTGTAGGGAATCGTTACTACCATCGTACCTTTTTATTGTCATACACTTCAAAAGCAAAACCGATAGTATCGAAGTCCATATCACTTGCTGTATACCACCATAAAGATACATCCTCGGTTTCCTTACAACCTGTACCACTTGTACTCATCAGGGGGAGTTTAACTGTGAGATCTGAAAAGTATCAAAAAGTTATCGTACATATATGCCTATCAAAACATTTTGAGTCCAGGTGTCCTGCTAGGGAAGCAGTGCGCAGTGCATTTTGAAGAGACTGGCCAGAACTCGAGACCTCACCCTTAGAGCTTTGCATTCCTCGCTAGGAACTTCCTTCATCATAATTTTTGAGTTCATTCGTCTTTCCAAAACCCTCATGCTATTAGGGATTCACAGGCCCAATATGCTCACGATAAGGAATGACGATCTCTTTTGAGCGCTTGGACGTTGGCATATCGTGGAAACTGAGAGGCGATAAATATTGTGTCATCTTCCCAGATACATTGAATCTAATAAGAGTTCTCATCTGAGTCGCTTTTCCAGTGAATGCGTAGAACTTACTGTCCACTAATTTGACTCGATCTTCGGGAAATATTATGGAGTCACACCGTCGACATAACACCGACTTCCAGTTTTTATCGTCGACATTCAGAAGATCATCACGATTAACCTGAGTTTGCTCCACAATCTGGAGGAAAATCTCTGCATTTGTTACTGTTTGCCTACCGGCTCGTTTTTGTTCCCCACATCCTTCAGAATCAGTTTCTCTGGGAAAAGTTTTGATGCATCAATGGTCTGAAAAAAGTGAAGTAGTTGATGGTCCTAAAAGCCTTTCCTGATTAACGAGAACAAGTTCTTATAAGGGCGGTAAATCTCCTTGAATTCGTGGTGGGAACGACTTGGGACGTATTCTATAGAATCAGTCGCTAAAAGTGAACGCAAACGATGAGCTTCGGAACCCCCATGAGTGCCGGTTTTCCTAGGTTTGTCCCAAGTCGTCCTTTCCACATCCTAACGTGAACTTAGTTTTCAAAGAAACGTCAAAGGCATGCCTACCCCCTTTACAGCCATACTTAAGAGTAGAAACTTAACAACACAACTGAACCTTGCCCATGTAAGATATCAAAAAGGCCCTAATGAACATATGATAGATACGGGTCAGTATCAGTGATGAATGTTTTCGTCGAGATTACACAGGCCTACTTTATATAATTCGCTAAGTGTGTCTGTTGGTGTGTCGGTGTGTGTGTCTGACCGGAAATTCATAATTCCTGTCCTCATGAACCTAGAGCGTTCAAATTTGGTAGGAGTAAGGGGGGGGGGGCAGGATGGGAGCACCTATGGTAAGTGGCAGGACCGGATTCACAGGGAGCGCGGCCTGCGCGTTAGAAATTTTAGTCCGCAAGTTTATAACTCCTGTTTACGTGGACCTAGAGCGTTGAAATTTATTAGGATTACACATTTCGTACTAACAGGGGAACCTCAGCAGTTTAGTAAGTGATGTAGGATATGACGGGATCGTAGGTACTTGGTACAAGAACTGATCATAATGATAAGAGAAGATAAGGGACCTAAGAGAGGTCACCTACCGATCAAAACCCTAACATGTTCGGTATCTACGTGTAGCTTTGACCGTTCAGTATGTTTCATTCAATAAGACGGGATGGTATGGGTGACCAAAGTGGTGGTAAGTGCAGTGATAGGGACCCATTAGGGCAATACGATAAGCAGATTGGAATTTTGTTCATTTCTTACTATTAGATTACGACCGCTAACCAGCGAGGTTTGTGATTCAATGAAGGACCCTCTCTGCTCGACGTCATTTGCGACAAAACTTATTCGACCGCCTGTAATCTAGAATTCTCAACAAATGATATCTCCGTAAAGGAAAGAGTCCATTGATAAAAAATACCTGATAAGGGTGCTATCATCGCTCAGAACACCTCCACAGCATCATCTTTCGCTGCCTAACAGTTGGATTTTCGATGGGTACCTATTTCTAAGGAAGAGAGCATAAGTTTGAGACTTCCAATCAAAGGCGTAAGCACCGGCTTCAACTGAATACCATTGCACTGCCCTGTTAGTCCTGTGTCGAACTCCGTGAACAGGAAACCGTTATTTGTTTCAAAAAAGGACTTACTATAGATGTCCTAGTAGAACTATAGAAGTACTATAGAAGTAGACTTACTATAGCTTTTTCAAAGAACTAGGGGAACTTTAGTTTTCTGTCGTGACAAAAAAAGGACTTCGAGCTCTGTTTCAGTTTTATACTGTCACTCAGCTAAACAGTGGAAAAAAACTTAAACTCAGCTAAACAGTGGGAAAAACATAAAAACCATAAACTTTGAAAAAGGAAAAAAATCTTTAGTTTAGCATTTCTCGGGATAGGGTGTTTAACACGAGAAGGAGAGCCTGGCGTTAGCCGGGCGATCCGAGTGGTAATAGAATAGTTGCATATGTATGTTGAGCAGAGAGCAGAGACGCTAAGGGTGGGGTGGGTAGCGTGAAGAGAGCAGGGGTGGGAGTTTTGGAGCGTAGGAGGGAGGATAGGGGCATTCTAAAGCATTTTAATCATGGATCATCAGGTAGTCTTTGCTTCCTGGAAATGTTTATTCTCAAATGAGTCCCTCCTTCATGTCCCTACCGCCATTGACAACAGCCATTCCGATCGTTCTTCATTGGCAGCTACTTTACCACGAAATATGAGATTGAAACACTTCCACTTTATTTCCTGAACTCAGTGGATTGTGTGAGACCTCCCGGTCCCTGTGGTTGAAGACGCAGATCCCTCTTTACTCTGCCCTTGATATAGGAAGAAATTCTTTCCGGCATGGTTTGTACCTCTAATTTTTGGAAACGTTAGATCGCTCAACGACGTATACCTGCTTTGAGGGCCAAATGGCCATTTCATTCTGGCCACGACAACAGAATAGCACCATTGCCAGGCTGGTTCAGTAGTTCTGTCGTTTTAGAAAGCAGAAATGCCCGAAAGCGTTCTGCTGCTCAGCCAGGCTGGTTAGGTGACATGCTGTGTGTTTGCTAAATAACGTATAGATTTATTCTTTAAATCAATAAAACTGTTATCACACTCAATGCAGTATTTACAAACGTAACAATTACCCGTAATCTGAACTCTATTCTAGACAATACAATGATCAAAAAGAAAAGTGGAAATAAATGGGGGCAGACTCTGGCTGACATTGACGGCACCCGGGATGGTTGAGGTGAGGCAAAACGAGAACAATTTGCTCGATTCCAATCATTACATAACCCTATACATGGTGATGGAATAGAAATCCTGATTCTAAGGCTTCAAAACTGGTCAACGCTAATTATAAAATTATGTAGAGAATGGTTAGGAGGGTGGGTAGGACAAGCATGGAGGAAGCAGAAGATTCCAGCGGCAGCTCGATAATCTCTCCACCAGGGAATCGTTCAATGACGTTCTCGTCGAGTAACCGAGCATGGGTGAGGAAGTTTGTCGTCAGTGCTTTGCCAAGGCCTCGATTTGTGATCGGTTGCACTTCTACCGTATACATCGTAGACGCGACGAGATTCTCGTAGTGAATCTGAAAAATCGACCCGTCAATCGATTAATCAATCAATAACTTCCATACCACCCATGGCTGCTCCAAGACTACTTAAGTACCGCGGGAAGGCTTACCTCTCGAATCTGTGGCGGTAGAATAGTAATGTTTGTATCGTCCCTCATTGGTGACGATAATGCAACTCTGTATCCGATTACGGTATCAGCATTTGGTCCGCGATCACGAACCCATTGACAAGATACGCTATTGTGGACTATACAGAACACGGGGGTGGCCAGAGAGAGGCAAGGAATCACGCCATTCGATGGCGTTGAGCTGCATGGTTGCGTTGAAAAGGTGCTTGTCAGAATTCTCTGCAATGATGTTTGTTCAGTGAGGCTGATAACAAAAAAATAAAATTTTCTTGAAGTCTTCAATTTCGGGCAATTCCGTCCCAAGACGTTTTCCATCATCAAAGGTTTGTTGTTTTACCCTACCGCTACGTGGACCATGTACTGTTATTTCAAAACTGTATACAAAAAATAAAAATACTGCTGTTTAGTATTGATCAATCCCCTTTTGGGATGCACCCACCCATTCGCCTTGTATACAGACTAGTGGTAGCGTTCACATGTGTCACTGGGAGATACAACGCTTTGTGGGATTTCTCAATGTGCAAGTTTACCCTGCTATCCTCCCAGACTAATCTGGCACCCCAAAAGAGGAGGGTGAGGTTGATCCAAAAATGTGTCACTTTGAAATTTGATTTCTACCCGATCAAGTCAAGTCATGCTACTGATCACTACTCCAAACACCCTCACTGTATATGAACTCTCAGAATTACCTTCGGGTTGGTGACTTCCAAAATCTCAACTGAATAGTCGCAGTCGAAGGTGAGACCACGAATGACCGCCGTGCACTCAGTAACACGTACTTCATGAATCCTAAACAAATTATATCTCCGGCCATCCATTAATTTTTTATATAAATATTTTTTATTTATATAAAAAATTTATATTTATTTTTTATTTATATGGTCTAATAGTTAATTATTATAATTATCACTTAATGGATAAAACAACCTGATGTGAAGTGTTTCCTGCTCTCATTAGGCTCTTCAATTCATGCTAAGTCAATCCCCTTTTAAAAGGTACATAATAAAGACATTGGTCAGAGTAGTTACCGTAGCCATATTTCTAGAAACTACGGTAATCGATACCGTATCATTGTCAGTGCCACTCACGTTCTGTCCGAATGCTGATTAAGCTGATATTCCCTGCAGCTGCCACGTTTCGCCTTTACCAAAAACGTTTTCTTCTCAGGTGAACAGAATGCCGAATTGATCCAGCTGACGGTGGTCTAAAATTCGTTGAATTGATCAATAAATCGATATGACATTCCTATCGAGATGGCATGAGATTTATTTTCCTTTTTGGCTTAGTTCGATGACACGGATGGACATTGGTTTGATCGTCCGCGAAGGGTAGGTTAAGATAGACCTCCAGTTCAGACTTTAAGAAAGAACTGTGTGCTCTCATCACTCAAAATTTTCCTAGGTTAGTCTACCCATGTCAGAATTCTCCTCCTAAGCAAGTTTCGAACTGGAGCACATTTTCTGTGAAGTCCTTTTTTGTGACCACTTCTAGTCGTTCTCGAGGATCGGTTTTGGTCGTGTTCCCCATTAAGAAGGTCCTGCTGATAGGTTTTGTGCCAGATAGGTCCCAATTACGGTAAGAAACCAACCAATAATTCTTTGTCGTAGAGTGGTGTTTGGATTTCGACATTGGTATCATCGTCCTCATCAGAAGAAGCTGTTGGCACAGCAAGATCGAAACCAGTTTCATCTAGAACATTATTGAAATATTTTCTAGGAATTTCTGAATAATTCATAAATATTCTTAGGAAATTGGCATGATTCCAGTAATCAGGGGGGATCGTGAAATGTGTTCCTTTAAAGAAAACACTGACCAATTGGAGGTTCTTTCACTATGTCCGAATTGCTGGCGTTCAGCGTTCGTACAAAGATAATGCCCTTTTCACCATGAAGTTCACCTTCGCTTGAGTCAACAGAGGCGTGTATCTGTAATAGACCGAATGATAAGCTGATTTTTGACGTAATCAGTACAGTGCTTGAGAACCAGTGAAGAAATAGCTAGTGCTGTGAACTATCAGAGGAAAACCGCACCTCAACGATATAGACGGAATTCGGGAACAGTCCAGAAAGCTCAGATTGGGTAGTGTGACTGGGAATGATCACTGAGTGACGGTCTCTGAAATATAATACAATGATGTAGACAGTTTTCCTGAATACAGGAAGGAACATTACTAATCAGAGGTCTGCAGCGCCCGAATTCTTGGGAGAAACTCTCACCCGCTTCTCTCATTTCAATTTTTTTTATAAAGGAGAGAAAGTTCGCGAAAGTAGGCTACGACCTATTCTTCCCCTCCCCCATCCACTTTCATTTGATCCTACTACATTCACTTAACTTGTTGATTGAGAGAAATAAATGTGATCGGTGCTCACCGTCCATCTATACCCCAGGCTTCTTCTTCTTCATCGAGACTTCGCTTATCGTGCGTGGTAAGAGTGGCTCGGCGTCGCATCATCTCCTCGAACGCGTTGGCTTCCGACGCGGAGGACACAGCCCATGACAGCTGGAATGACACTGTATCGAATTGTTCTCTTTGGAGCTCTTATGAGGGTAAAGATATGTACTAGTTTGTAATTCACAATACCTGGTAATTCTTAATAGGTAGGTCACTGGCTGGTGGTGTCCATTGAACGATTTGATTCCAAAGTCCAATTGAAGTGAGTTTGGAAGCTCCAAGTGATATGTCGCGAGGTGGTGATGGGGCTCGGGCCTCTGAAAGGTCGAAAAATGATAGTTAATTTTCAAATTGAAATCACCAGGTGACATTTCCAGGTCCCAGCAGTAATACCGTATCCCTACAGTATCTGTTGATTACAGTAATGAAATCCGTGAAAACGGTACATGCATTGAGAAATGTGCTATCTCCTGATCATTACGATCAGATTCCCATTTTTGCTGAAGTTTTTAAATTCCTATTTATATTTGCTAATTGTATTTATTTATTTTTTCGTTGTTCTTTTCTTTTCTACCGAATTTTTACTTTTTTATATCATTTAAAGTTATGATTCTGATAACTACTTCAATTAATTAATTGAGCTCACCTTTAGAGAGCTTGAATGGTTGCGATTCCTGACTAAAGCCAAGGCTCCCATGAATGCTTACGGCGCCGACTCGGAACTGATAATATCGGCCAGGTGAGAGTAGATGTTTCAGAATTGCATACGGCTTATTTCGCTGAAACGAAACCGGTTTTGCTATCGATTTATTGATCTGAACAGTAATATGTTGACGGTTATACTCACCACAGTGACTGTCTGCCATTCAGTCATGCTCTCGCCTTCCGGCTGTAGACCCCAACGCCATTGAACTACATAGAGATTGGAGTTGGCAGCGTTTTGTTCACGGGTCAACTTTTGCATTACCCATCGAATGATTATTGATCTGAAATGGGATCGGTCAATCGGTAATTGGCTCCGTTAATAGACTTTGTTCCTAAGCCCAGGGCGCTGCTTATTCATGTAAAACCCTTCCCACCCGTGCCATTACTTGAACCGGCCAGAGCACTGAGAAACCGAGTTCGCATTTTCTACCTCTATCATACCCTTGCTTAATCCTTGCGGCTCCTTCACTTTGTATCTTTGATTTGAAGCTTTAAATTCGGATATCGGGGTGAATGCTTTTTTTCAGCTTTTCTGAGCATATCTGTCATTTTAATTATCCCAAATGCCCAATACGTACAGTACAGTGATTTCTAGTGATTTCTTTTCAGGAGCTCGAGTGATCTACATGCAACCTTCCAATCGTTTTCGACGAACTACGAGCACAATATCTACTCTACTGAAGATTCGATAGATTCGACGCTGAAGTAGGCCGGAACTACCCAGGTCGGTTAAGAAAGTTTTGAAATTCGATTTTGGTGTAGGAGTCGTGTATTACTATGCACTCAAGAATGAGAATTTTTTCAATCCCTGAAAAAGGGAGTATGAAGGAAATACAGTCATCAAGAACTCCCGATTGCGGATTTTTTGTTTACTTATTTCACTTGTTGCATTTGCCATATACATAGAAGGAAGGAAACAACTAAAGAACTGCCAAAAATTTGAACAGTAACAAAGCGAGAGCCGAAAATAGCGACAAGTGAAACAAAAAAAAAACAGCTTGACGCTTTCAAGCCGCTCTAACCCCAAAGTACCAAGTTCACGTTTATCCTGGAGGCTAATGCAGATGCTAGTCCTCTTTACCATCTTTTGAACCAGTAAATTGGAACTTACGGTTAGATAAAATCTCTAGTGTTTATCGCTTCAAATTAAAATAACGGAGTATTTTGAACATACCCCGGTGACGGAAATTCTTCAAGCGTCTTGGGTGAGTTTATAGTTTTATGTTTCTCAATGCTTGAGTCCTTTTCTGATCGCGTCCAAATGGACAGCACACGAAGCGCCCGCGTTATTTGTTACATTTTTCTTCACCCATTTCACTTCTTTTTGGAATTACAACAAATTTTGGGAATGTTGATGGGCTCTACGGTGATTTCGAGATGGTCCTTGCACCGCCCTGCCTACTTTTTTTGTGCTCTGAGAGAAGTATTTCTTGAGCGAAGCAATCGAAAGGGGTCGATAGTTCGCCACGCTCCAGCGAGTAGTAAAGATGGTCTCAAACAACCATCCAACGACCACTTACCGCTTTCTTTTCCGTTCCTGTACGGATATCGAACTTGGTATGGGTAACAGTCTCGGGTCTCGTCCTTTAGGTAGTGCGCACTGTCGGCTGCATCCATAGGAGCAGCATTTTCCCGTTTCAGGACAGTCACCATCAAGATGGCACAGTGCTGTGCATTCCTAAAAAGTCCTCGTTTTCTATGCTATTTTTCAGATATTTTTTTGTTTAAATTATGATTTTTGGGACGATTCTCATTTAACCTTTATTCGGTTCTTATTTCCATGATTTTTTTTGCTAAAGATTCCAAAGGAATTAGATGTATGACAGATTATGGCTTACATAGTTCGATTGATTGGCGATTTTTGGACAAGCGCCTGGTTTCTCAGTATAAATACGTTGCAAATAGTCACACGACTTTTTGCAGGCCTCTTTTTCTAGATTGTCCTGGAAGAAAGAGTATAAACACCTCATGAGTCACACACAAGTGGGTGGCAACTCACTTTACATGCGATTTCTTTGCAAGATTTGACGTTAGCGAAGCTCTCTCGACATGGTTCGGTGCACTGAAAGAAAAGTCAATCAATAACCAATCAATATTCAAACTTTATACATATATTTTGACGACTACAAAAATCCTGTTAAGTAGAAACCATCGAAAAGAAAGCATGCGAAACAAAAGGAATTAAGAAATTCGGTGAAAACGGATGGGTGAATGGCTGTAGGAGCTGTACGGCGCCAGCAGGGAAAAGGACTTGTTCCCGTTCTGTTTCCTTCTTCCCGCTGAAATTTTTCTGAGGGAGGAATAGAAGTACGGATGGCTTACGATTCATTGTGAATATGCCATGCCCACCAAATGATCTCCGCTGTTTGGAGCATAAGACAGATTCATANTGCATTCAGTTGAAGAAGCAAGGGTAGAAACGATTCTTTTTTCTTTGATAGGTAGGAATTGTAAGGGACAGTTGTTTCCAACCCTAGAAGTCCGGTATGATCATAAAAGTTTTCTTGGTCGATTTCCGATTTTCGAAGATCTCGGAAATATCCACCGCCCTAGTTTCTAGCAATCATCATCGATATTATGTTAACATATAGACTCCATGAGAGAGTCCCTTCTGATGACCATCACTCTGCCAGCCGCACTCCCTTAGTGATTTTCATTAGCTGCGTTTAGCTATGGTAATTGTTAATTGTGGGTGAGAAGGGCATTATGCGGTCATTGACTGGTCCAATCCGTGAGCTCGTAAACTACTTTAACGCCACCGCTATGGGCCAAAACAACTTGAGAGTGTAGAGGGGTGATGAGCTTGATCATTTGGAAAGTCGTGTTTGTGACCTAATCACCGGGTTCCCACTACTTTCACTCACTTCAGCCGACTTAGCGCCCTTGGGTTTCGTTTGCCCCTCCACTCGGTCGCTAACAGGATTCTCCGGGTTATCATAGGGCAGATAGAAGAAAACATTTAACTTATTCGAGTTCAGGATCGTTTTCTGTCTTTAGTTGGGAGGGAAAGTGGAGGACCATTCGAAGACTCAGCGACTTGGACAGAAAAATCTGTCAAACTTCGGCCGTTGGGTGATTTTTCACTGTCTCGAGCCTTTCCGATTTCGAAAATTGAAGCCATCAGATTAAAATGAAAACTCAGGCTCAGTGGAGGAACCGTACAAAGAAACTGTCGCCAGCTAATCCTGCAAGATAAATATGTATACATATATTCCAGGTCCCCATCTTTTCAGACAACAGGATCGTCTTTCCGAAGACCCTTTCTACCAGCTCAGAGTATCATAGACGTCTTAATAACCCTTAGGGTTATTTACGCCCAACGATAACCGAGTTGGTGACGATCCTGACGAGCGATCGGCTCTTCGTCAACGCGGTCAAGTGGCTTTTAGCCCTCGGAAAAATTGATCCTCTAGCCCTCTCACGTCATCTGCTGACTGCTATCAGTTCACAGACGCATAGATGGCAAACAGCTTGACGGAGCAGCACTCGAGTCGCCAGATGATCGCAAACACTACATACAGTCGTCTACAGTTCAAGGATTACCAAGTGGAGTGGGGCTGACATGCACCGATTTGCCTTAACTTGATCAAGGGATTCATTTTTTGAAAGACTACGGAGATGATCATCCTGAAGAGACGGGAAAGGGGACCATGGTCATCCAAACAATCCCTATTCGAAGCTGGACTTGGAAAGTTATCATCGCTTCGCAAGGATTGCAGTTCAGGGTTGAACCCACGAGTTTCAGGCAACTGTTCCTTCTCCTCCCAGTTGGAATCCGGTGGGTGAACAGAAGACCTTCAAAAACCCACCATGTGCTGTGCCCTTTATCGCTCATGCTTGACCACATATGTCATCGATGTTGGCCATTTCATCTCTTGTTATCGCCCCTTTGACAACAGCAACGAAAAGCCGCCCAGCCTTGCATTTTATGTGAATAATTTGCCATCACGACGAGCCTTATGGTTAGGCATAGCTGAACAGCACATCAGATGGTTATGTTGTTTAGCTGTGCTCAACCATGGACCCACCAACGAATCTGAGCATGAATCTCCGGGAGATTTCGAAATCCACCCGGGTTGTCGTCTTGGAGAAGTTGTTTTTGATGCCGATTGGCTCGGAGAAGGCCACCCCACATTACAGAAAGCCATTAACATCTCAAACTCTCTAACTCACAGTGTTTGTGCGGCTTCTTTGTTCAATAAATTCCCTTCTGACATATGGCGCCCCACACTTCAAAAGTGAGCCGGGACAGCCGGCCGGCTGGCTACTAAAAGTTTACCGTCGCCGCTAAACAGTTTCCTAATCGTTGTTGGACAACTGATTCACGACCGTAATGCAATAAGCGCCCGCCAATCCAGAAGCCTCGCTGCCGCAGATGTTTCATAATGACCGCACACGTCACTGCTATCTGTTAGCTAAGAAAGACGATCCAAAACGGATTCTTCTCAATGGCTTGTTAGTCCTTATCGAAAGCCCTAGATCGGGTCAGGTATCAAGGCCGATCTGTGGCCTTTTCCCCAATGTTGATCCAACCCTTCGATCCCTTACCCATCCCTTCCCTTAACGGACGTCATTTCACGTCCATTTTCGGCTCGTTTCGTCGTTGTCGAATACGGGTCGTTGAGGTTTCGCATTCTGGTTCCATTAGATTGACGATCAACCACCCGTCAGCCAGCATTTCACGTTTGAAAGCGATTTCCGTCGTAGTCGAGAAATTCGAAACAAATAAAACTGGGCAGTATTTATGGAACTCTGACTGTTAACAAAAAATAAGGTCTCAGAAGATCGCTTAAGTCTGCGTTTATACTTAGCGAAATTGTATAGGGTCCTCCAACTTCTTACAAATTCTTGGTTATTTTGACCAGAACAACATACACCGACCGGCAATCAGGAGAACCGACGCTGCCTACGGGACCTCAAAATTGGGAAGAAAAGAACGAAAGCATTTGAGACGCTGAATTGTTCTCATTTTCGCCATAGCACTCCTCTTTTATGTTCCCATCCAAGGGTGAAACGACCGCGGCGCGTATATCTCTGGATGCCTCGATCCCAGCGACAACGCGATTTTTTTCTTCTGTTGTTGCCATAGGAAGCTCGATTTTGATGGATTCACCAGCATTGTTCTCGACCCGATCGGGCAATCTGGCCTCCAATGGTCGTCGGGTGGTTCATTCGAACCGACAACGAAACGTCTTCGAATGACAAATGCGCACACCATATGCCATACCGCCGTCGACGGCAGTTTTTGGTATTATTGGCTCAATTCCAAATAATTCCGGTATGCTATCTCAAAAGGGGAGCTTTCTTTCTGGAAACAGAGAGTGTGGGTCATTGCAAGGTCATAGGTGGCCAATTTCCCCCCTCACTCTATTCATCTTACCATGAATGTCCACCCTTGGATCGGCGGTTGCTAAGTCCTCAATGTCGGAATGTGCAGCCAAGCGAACCATACCCTAATGGCCACCTTCTACGTAATTAGGACGACTAGACCAGGTAGATTGCTGGGCTATGGAATAACTATGTCTTCATAGTTATTATATCCATTAATAGTGGCAACTGGAGTCGATCCAGTAGATTGTCACTCTGTGACAGATGGCCGAAAATTCCATTTGAGTGAAAAAGCCCCTCAGTCAAGTTGATCCATTTGGATGATTTCTCCGGACGATCCCAAGCTACTGTGTCCCCAGCACCAAACAACGACACCTAAGCCCCTCGTAGAGGGTTTACCAAACGGATTGGATTTTATTGGGGTTCACACTCATCGAGATGTCTTGGCAAACAGGTTAATCCTAGATCGCGCGCATTTGGGCGCTTCTATGGGAGTATGGCATCTTGTAGAAATGGTACGGAAACCTAACGGGTAAACAACTGAACACACAGACAGCGACAACTGAGACAGACAAACGGATTGAAAGGCAGACAGACAGACAGACGGACAGAAAACCGGGTGGATATACAGGAGGTGAACTCACCGCTGAGCAGATATCGTCATCCTTGCACATTTGGATGATGTGATGCTTGAGGTTCCGTCGTTGTTCGGCATTTTTCTGTAAAAATATGAGATTTAAATGCAATGAAATGACTGAATCTGGTCATATATCTTATTCCCGAATGTCCTGTTCCCAGTGTCTCAGAGATAGACTTTTTTCAAAGACCACAAGTGCATGTGGCCTCAGAAGATTTTATGACTTGCGGGTTTTCAGGCGAAGTGCCATAAACTTGATGACATCTGGTGGAACTCATTTAGTTTCCCACGTGAAAGATCCGCCTGACCTCATGGCTACAAGCCCAAACCCCTAATCGTCTTGGGAGCACTTCCTAGGGTTGCGCAAGCCTATGTACTACAGTATTACACAATGCCACTTAATAAGCTCCTTGCACCAGTATGTGAATAATTACGGTCAAATCGATTAAGTGACTGGGAGTGGACATTGGGTGTATGAGTGTGTGTATGTGGGAATATGGGAATA